TCCTCGTCCTGTTACCGCGTGAAATACATCGTGACATTGGATCGTCCGATTGCACGTACATGCGGCCCTGTTTACAGTCAACGTTGACCCGTACAACGACGACGTAAAGTGCTCTGACTGTTGCCAAGTCGACCGGATTGACCAATTTGAGAGCAAATGTTATCCCGTCGAGGTGGCACGGAGTTGGTGCTTTGAAGCGGTCCCACGGCAACGGCCACTTTCGCGTCAACCGAGCGCTTGTCGATTGACCTTCTGTAGATGGAAAAGTGGGAAACTTCAGTGACATTACTGCTTAGCCCTTGATCCTGATCGGCCAGATCCCGCCGTGCAACCCCAATTCGAGCTTAGGATCACTCGACAGACTCGAGACGAGACTGAGCTGCCGCCGTCGTTCGGGCTGGGGATAGCGGCACGAGGAGCATTTGGAGCTAATTGTTGCCCCGTCAACCGAAGGGCGAGCCATCCTGTCCGAATCCGAAGGAGGAGACGGTTGTCATGGCTGGAGAGAACAATGCGTATCTTTCGCACCAAGCCTGGTCGACAGACGAGTGCTCTTCTGGGCTACGAAGAAGCCTCCATCTCGCCCTCAAAGTCGACCTCCTCCGAAAAGGAGAATGGCAAAATGGACTGATGATGCCGTCTACAATGTCGGCGAAACCTTTGAGGCTGTACCAAGCCCACTGTCTGATGCTGGAAATGATGACAACTACACGGTGCGTTCTACCAAATCGCTCTGACAATAAGACCAAGTTGCGACAACGAGAGCAACCCACTTCAATGAGTCGAAAGGGGACTGGTCCCATACCATGGACCACGACATCTTGTTCTTCATGTCTTTGAGTAAGCTTTTTAACGTCTTAAATATGAAGTCAAGATTTAGGAAGGATCTAGGCAGTGTTCTCACTCCGGAGGATTTGCAAAAAGTCTAGAATATTACTGCTCAGAAGTCATAAAGGGTCCCGGCTTTAATTAATACGAGACGACAAGAAATTGCTTAGCTACGGGATAATAAGACAATGGTTCAGCTTACTTCCATTTCGAGGGAAAGTGTTGGGCTACGAAGAAGCCTCCATGTCGCCCCCAAAGTCGACCTGCTCCGAAAAGGAGGAGGCAGTTCGTCCACCTTGTCACTGGGCGCCTGACATGGCCCTCGAGCCTGCACCAAATGACGCAAAAGTGAGCACAACAACGTGGCCAGTCTGGATTGCTTGAGGCGATTGAATGACTCAAAGTGGAGTTGTTTCCACAGCTCGACCGGAAGAGCTGTCCTCCCCCCGATCCGACTGGACTGCAGTTTCAACCTCGCCTCATCGCCACCTCAGCAACCCTGTCGAGGTTCGGAACTGGCTGGTACGCATCGTAGCAACACACTGAATGTCCGCCCCACTCTTGCGGATGACAGTGGATCACAGGACGGATTTGACTTTCAAACTCAGCCAGGCCGTTTCCACATCAGATTTGTCAGTGCCATTGCCGATGAGATAAACATGTTTGCACCGTCGCAATTGGCCACACTACTTATATCTAGTATGAGTAGACACCTAAAATATCACTTAATTCTTGACTAATCACTTGATCAGTTCACGCCAGCCTTGGATTTATGATTTGTGTGAAGCAAAGTTCTTATT